CTGTGGTGTGGATTGATCCTGTAAACATCATTGCTGCTACATATGACATTTTAATTGAATCCACAGCAGAATTTACTCATTATAAACCACCCCTGAACTTGCCTCTTAGGCCAGGCATCTGGACTATCCGTGTTCTTCACCACTGGGTCCCTGTAGCTGAAACAAGATTTTTGATATCTCCCTTGACTTTTTCAAATAGACAGCCAATAAAGAGTGGTAAGTGTTGCATCTATTACAGCTATTTTTTAAAAATAAAATACCAGTGTTAGAAGATTTTCTTAGTACGAGCATTGGTAATATGAACATAGGCAGTCTAGCTCTCCTTCCTGAATTACTTTGCCTATGTAGAAAACTCATGGGGATGAACCTGACATTTTCTTAGGCCCCTTTCAAACTATTGCAGTGTGTTAATGTATGCAAGCTACTTCATGTTATGTCTTATGTTAACATGCATTGCATTAAGGCATCTCATTCATTTGAATAGACTGCCTAGTGCACCAAACAGATACATGTATCATTTGGAGAAATGTACCACAATGCACATCTGTTGGCGAGGTGCATTAGGGTGCCATTCAGAATCAATGACGTAACATTACACCAAATCATGTAATGTGTGTGTGGTCACAAACAACACATTGCAATGGTGTAATGTGCCTCAACATCCTCTGCCTGGGAATTTCTAATGTACGGCTTCATTAGAATCATAGGATTAGTTTTAAATTTAACGTTTTAAAGAGTTTGAAGTGTTGATAGCAAGCTGAACAGACCAGCCTAGACTTCTCTTTTCCTGGCCACATATTAAAGCTCTTACTGGAAATCTACAGGGCCAGCTGCAAGAGAAGTGCCTACAAGCTATTTTGAGTTTCTTCACATTCTCCTCTTCATTTGGCTTTCACCAGAAGTCTCCTGAATGTTCTGGATGTGAAGAAGCTAAAAGCTTTTTACACTGTTATGAGTAAAATTGGTGAAATCTTGCAGCATATTCACATTTAGTCTATATCAAGGGTCAGCAACCTACAGCACAAATACAGTAGTCCGTTTTCAGTGTTAACTGCAAAATCGACAGTTCCATATCTTCAAAAATATTTGATATTTCTCATTACGACATGACTGTAGTAAAGTTTGTCAAATATTGTCTAGTCTGTATTGTGAGTTTACCAGACAGATTGCTATTTTTGAAAAAGGGGGCCATTAATGGATGCATTAATGTCAGCATTTGGATTCACATGTACAATGTGTGGGAATAGATTTTTTTCACACTTGAAGACAGTGTTAAGTCCCTCTCAAAGCTGACAACAGATAATTCAGCACCTGTGCAGCTGAAATTAACATTCTACAGCCCACAACTAAGCTGTGAAACAAAGGGACAGGGATCTAAATGAAACTGGAACTACAGTTCACTTGTTCAGTACACATTAACGATAAATATGAACATGTGTGGATACTAGGGCTCGATAAATCCCAGGTGCCATGTTGCCATGGCGACTAGAAATTGCACCTGGGTTTACACCTTGCCTCCCATAGACTCGAATGGGAAATCGCACCCCATAGACTTGAATGGGAAAACTTCTCCCATAGACTTCAATGGGAAAACGTTTCCCCAATAGACTTCAGTGCGCAGTGCCTCCCAATAGACTTCAATGTGAAAACTCCTGTCAATCACAAAACACTTATCTCCACATGCCACTCTACTCTATCACTTGCGAGTCTAGAATACACCGCTACAAACTTACATAGGACCCTTTTCATAATGGCACTCAAAACACAATGCGTGTGGATCGCATCTGTGTGAACCACCTCAATAGGAACACAAAATATATAGCCTGTCATGCAAATTTATGAGTTTCAAAACACGTCCAGAATCACATATGTGTGAACCAGAACAGCTCCATTCACAACTGGGCATTTTGGGATTGCAGCAGAATCACTGTGATCGCAAAACGGAGGTTCAGGTGCCATTATTTTCAATGGCACATAATACGTGCAGTTTTGATTGTCATGTGGCAAATCGCATCATGTGAAGTCCTGGGCGCTGACAACCCACGCTACGCTACAGAAAAACTGGCTCCTAACATTTTTAGCTGGCTCCTAGATTCAAAGCAAAATTTCAAGCCCTGGTGTATACATAATAGGTTAAACTTGACATTAGTAGTATACAGTAGCTATTAATACAAAAATTGAACATTTAGAGCTACCACCTGTTCACCGGCACACCTGTGTCTAATGCTTGTAAATGAACACATAATATGGAAAAGGTTGCCGACCACAGTCTATATAATGAACTAAATATTTTTTTTCTGCTATTACCATAGATAATGAGTACCTAGCATTTCCCCAAATCAGTACAGATACAACCAAAGTAGTTTCCATTCTAACAGAATAGAGTGTTTATGACAGCCACACTTAGTTCATTTTACTGTAAATATAGTGTAGTAGGCTTAAAACTGCTGCGACTGGACAGGGCTTGATGGTGCACCTAGCATATGAACATTTATGGCAGTATGTGCTCGGGGACAATGCACAGAACTCAAGAAATCTATGTTCTGGGCATTTGTTCCTGGCACATAAGAAGCATTCATACTGCTAGGTGCACCGTTAAGCCACAGCAGCTGTCAGCCTCTCATAGAGTTTGTCAGGCTGCCAGAGTGGGGCTGGATGGAACACCTGTGCCCTTCGCCTGCAGCTAAACACCAGAGCCCCATGCACTGGGACTGAACACCTAGTTTTCATGGGGTCTACACATGCTGAGGAATTGAAATTAGGACCTGTATGGGGCTATACACCCTCCTTTGCAGGTCAGAACTGGGCAGGCTTGGTCGAGGAAATAAAACTATGTTCCTATGATGCAGTAGGAGCTTTTTGTAACTGCTGTAATACTTTTTTTTTTATATTTTTAACAGGTTGTATCAAGTGATTTTTTTTAATTGCTACTTTTATCAAAAACAACTATTTTGCTTTTAATTAGACAAGAACTTTTTAATTACCCAAACAAGATGTCCTAGATGCTGTAGAGTACATCAATTATTCATATTTTGCTTTTATGCTAGTGATAGGGAGCCGAAGGAAATGGCCTTTACCTGCATAATGGTGCCAACTACAAATTTAGTCACTGGGTTAGCTTTCTTGACTTCTGTCAGATTAATTTGGCTTAGGTGGCAATTGGCTCAAACTGACCTTGATGTAAAAAATACCATGTTGTATTGATGGCATTTACATTGAACAAATCACTTACCCTTAGACATGCACCTAAGAAAGAAAGTATATTAAGTTTAAACACTATATTTGTACGGAATATGCTTTATCGACTATTCTTAAAAAAAAATGCTAATAATTTCAAGAAAACGTGCATTTGCACATGCATGACAGTCTTGAGGTTTTCACTTTGGGTTTAAAGTCCAGAGCACACGGTATTTTGTGTAGTATTTTGTGCCCTAGGCAAGACAAGCTACTTGCACCCCCCCTTCCCACATAAGAAAAAATTAAACTGCAAGCTGCATTCCCTTTTCCTTCTACTACCTCTTTCAGGCCTACCAGTCACAATGCATGGATCACAATGGTGGTGGTGGTGTCAGGTGAAGCCCTATAGTGGAGGTGGTGTCAGGTGACTCCCTATGGTGATGGTGTCAGTTGGTTCGCTTACCAGTGCAGGATACAGGTCACCTGACGCTGACAGCTCCAGCACAGTTTACAGCCAAATGTTGTATTATAGCCTTTTCATTATAATTCATTCTAACTATTTGAAATACAAGTATTAAACCTAAAAACAAGTTAAAAAAAAACCTTTTTTTGTAAACATTTGGCTGTAAGCTTTTCACATTTGCATTTATTTTTTTCCTCAAGTGCCAAATAAAAAAGGCTTTGTACCAGAAATATAACTCTTGTGTTTTTATAAAAGGAGACATTTGCAAATTATAATTTGTAGTTAATTCTTATTAGATTTTATTAACCATATTTTTTTAGTTAAAGGGCTTTGGGCCCGTTTAAGTTGGATATCATTGGTATAGAAACATTGTATTTTTGCATGGCTTAAGATCATGCATAAAATAAGTCTAATTTGGGATTTTAAGGGTAACCAAATGTGTACAAAAAATCAAAGCAGATTAAAAAAACATGAATTTTATTACACATATTACTTGTCTTGAACACGATTCTTAACGTAGGTCGGTTTTATATGTGTCAGATTCTAATGTTTGCAATAAAAATTTGTGTTTTTTTTTAATCTTCTATGATTTTTTGTAAATACATGGTTGTCCTTAAAACCCCACCAGATGGGAATCTTACAAAATAAGTTTTACATGCTGTGATAGAAATGTAAAAATAGCCAAGTAGATATAGTATAATGTTTTTTAGGATTGATTTTCTTCTAAAATTTCCACATATTTTTTTAGAATATAGCATACTTAATAAGCACATTATACAGTTTGATGTATGGCTGGAGGGAGTGATAAAAGGATAAATACAAAAGGTAGGGGGCATAATATGCTTCAGGTGACTACTTACAGTAGATGGTTCAATTTCACTTCAAAATGTCACCCACATCATTTTGCACCACCTCTGGCATAATAATTATTGGGTATATAATCCATGCTTCAGGAACTCATTTTATTTCAAAATTCACATCAGAAATTAAAGTGGTTGTAATCCTTAGACTTAGACATGAAATATAAGCAATGCACATCCCTCTATAGTATGTACTTATCTTAATTAAGAGCACTAAGTGTCATTTCTATCTGCTGCTTCATTCCTCTGCTATCAGCATGAATCACTTCTGACAATTTTTCCTGACACCAAGAGAAAATTGGTGAAAGGGGAGGGAGCTCCAGCAGATTGACAGCCTCAGCTCTTGTTAACTGTGTGCAGGGGAGGGAGCCATCTCTTCGACTTAAATTCTGGACTTTCAAGGGATGTAGAGAAACAAAAGATTGCAGATAGACAGGAGGACTTGTTTCGTCCCATTCTAACTGACGTCGTCCCATTCTAACCACGCATGTGGCGATCGGTGGTGCTCTGTGTCCCTCGGACACAGCGGATCACCGATCAACGGAAAGAGCCGAAGTTGTCGGCTTGGTTATGTGATCAGCTGTGTCCAATCACAGCTGATCACATGTAAATAGGGAAGTGCCGGTTATCGGCATTTCTCTCCTCATGAGCCGTCACGCTGACAGCTCGAGAGGAGAGCAGAGCCGGTAATCGGCATCCCTCAGAGGGGACATGTGCACTGATCATCAGGGCACTGATGATCAGTGTGCCCTGATGATCTGTGTAGCCCCAGTAGTGCCATCTGTTAGTGCCCATCAGTGCCAGCTGTCAGTGCTCATCCATGCCACCTGCCAGTGCCCATCAGTGCCACATCAATGCCACATATCAGTGCCTACCAGTGCACATCAATGCCACATATCAGTGACCATCTGAGCTGCCTTTCAGTGTCACCCGTCAGTGCCAGTAACTGCCACCTATCAATGCCAGTCAGTGCCACCTATCAGTGCCAGTCAGTGCCGCCTATCAGTATGCATCAGTGCTGCCTATCAGTGCCCATCAGTGCTGCCTATTAGTACCATATATGAGTGCTGCCTTTCAGTGCCCATCAGTGATGCCTGTCAATGCCCATCAGTGCCACCTACCAGTGCCTCCTTATCAGTGCCCATCAGTGCCATCTATCAGTGTCCAGCAGTGCCCGTTACTGCAGCCTCATTAGCGCACATCAGTGAAGGTGAAAAATCACTTATTTACAAAATTTTATAACAAAAACTAAGAAAAAACGTTTTTTTTCAAAATTTTCAGTGGTTTTGGTTTGTTTAATAAAAAAAAAAACCCAGAGGTGATTAAATACCACCAAAATAAAGCTCTATCTGTCACAAAAAAAATGATAAAAATTTCATATGGGTACAGTGTTGCATGACCACACAATTGTCATTCAAAGTGCAACAGTGCTGAAAGCTGGAAATTGGCCTGGGCAGGAAGGGGGTATAAGTGCCCTGTAGGCAAGTGGTTAAACAAAGCAATGCTTACACTGACTTTGGCCTGCAATGACAGTTCTCAAAGTACAGGGAATAAAGGGCAGACGTACAAGGTTATTTTTTATAAAGTAGCTTAGTATCCCAGAATATACTGTACGTAGTTACAAATCAAATGTGTTTTTAAAAGTGCAGTTATCCCTTAAAGTGGTAGTAGATTCAGGATTTCTATTTTTACCTCCAGGTAAACTTAGAATAAAGCTCACCTGTAGGTAAAATGAATATCTCCTACATGTGCACAGTTTAGGAGATATTCGCTCCTTTTTACAGCCGAACATGCACTCTGAAGGAACGGCATAGCTGTGCCATTCCGTCAGAGCACTGTACCGGGAGTGGTGTCATTGTGGCTCGGCCAGGCAGATGGTTGGAGCTTGAGAACCCGTAAGGAAGACCAGGTGAAGATGGAAGCCTCTGCAGCGTTGACAACGTGCTGCTGGAGGGATTTGTTTTACGATAAGTCCTTCATGATGTGCTAGTACTAGCACATTAGGACATTACCTTGCAAGGGAAAACTTTATTCATTTATTTTTTAAAGTGCGGTTTACTGCTGCTTTAAAGCCGTTTAGTGAAATAACTCGATAACATCGTATTATAGTACTTTAGTAAACAGATAGCATGTTTATGTAGCCAAGATATGACTATGATTTTCTTGAATACAATTTACAAAACAAGTGTTTTTCCCAATTTTTTGTGTTAATTGTGCCTCTGCATGACTGTTCTGTTACTACATACTGGTGATATGTAATTGTATCTCACAGAGAACATTTTTAATTTTTATTTATTTAATCATCAGTCTTATTTTGTGTTCTGTGAGCATATTTGGGCCACTGCTGTGAGCTAATGCAGTACTAATCTTCCTTAACAGGAGTGCCAGCTGGCAAATATCTTATAATAACAATAGAGTTTAAGGCTTTTCCTTTTATTCTTACTCATTATTTTTTACTTAAACTGTTTAGTTGTATTATTTGTGACACTGGCCATGTCACATAAATAATTTTCTAGTTTTAAAGAGAACCCGTCATGACATAAATAAGAGATTGCCAATAATAATTACAACCTGCAAGTTTCCAGGCTGTCTTTTAATTCCCCCGTGTGGTAAGTATGGAGCCAATGGAGGCATAAATGCTGATTTGCAGGCTTGTTCTGTGTCAGTGGCTCTCACATTTTAAACCCAATTTCACTATTCTCACCCTTTATCAACTTCAATAACTAAGACAGTATATCTACAATTAGGTCTCTTGGGGGTTAACGGAAGCAAACATGGAAGTTGCCATTTTTATATCTCCTTCTGATAATGCTAGTTGCCTGGCTGATTTAATATCCCAATAACTATGTAGTTTAAAGCAGTATTAAACCCAAAACCAAAAATGTAATACATTGCAGCTTATCAATCATTAGATGTAGTGGCTGCATTCGTTTTCTTTTTTAGGCTTTTCCCCCCTCTGTGTTCACTTGATGATCTGGCCAGTAACACACCTCCTGTATAAGGGTGCCTACACTACACTGGATGAAGGAGAAACATTTCAACAGCAACATGGTCAGTCTAGAGGGAGGGGAGTGTTAGATGCACTAGCAGATTTAAATACACTAACAGATTGAAGCCAAACTCCGGCTCACACTTTTTAAGCAGTTACATCCTTGGGATAAAGGTTTTACATAAACGAATAAAAGCTGACTATTGAAAGCACCCCTGCCAGTGTTAAATTATTTGTTTCAGCCATCTAACCTCAATACTAAGTACAAATACAAATGCCAGTGAATAATATCTAAATAGCTAATGTGTGGAATGCACACCGTGCATCCCACCTACATAAGCCTACAATGTAACTTTTATTTCAAAATGTAATTAAAAATAATTTATACTTTCTTGATGTCTATTTATATCATACATTGTTTAAGAATGTGGCTTCTTTCCAACAGAGGGAGCAAGGAGTTATATTCCAAAGAGTCTTGACTACTCTAGTTAATACAGTCAGCAGTGGATTTGTTCTGAGCTCCCTCTTATCTGTCTAAACTAACTATTACAATAGAGATGAATAGTCCTATCTGAGCTTTGTAAATTTTCCTGGAGAACCATCTACAATAATATAGATTTTTTTAAATTGTCCAAATACATCTAAGGTATATCCAAGTACATCTGCAGAACAGCATTTCATAGATAGATGATGCGATTTTCTTTTTCTGCTGCCACAGGTTGCAGGAAAGAAAACTGCTTGATTTGTTCATCAACACAGTCAGTGATGATGGGGGAATCCCACCTGCGCAGTTGTTCATTCTCCTGGGGGGGGGGGGGGGGTAGCCGTCCCAGCCTGGAGAACACAGTGATTATTGATAGTAGCTATAGCTTCTGACAATAATTGCATGAAAAATCTGACTGGCTGGTTGTACACAAGTCGTATAACGGTCAAATTGGGTTTAATCAGCCTGCGCATAGATGGTTCGAATCTCGGCCGTTCCTTGCTGAACCAGTCAAGATTCGAACCATTTATGGCTGGCTTTATTTAGCTTTACTGGCTAGATCACCAGTTGTTATAAAGGAAAGAAAGTCTGATAAGGAAAACTAATGCAGCCACCACATCTAAGAATTGGTAAGCTACAATAAAATAAATGTTTTCTTTTGGGTTTAATAACACTTTCAATTCTTGGCAAGAAACTAGTTCAAATGAGGGCTTCTTATTGAGGAAAGACCCATATTTTTTTGCTCCTCTGAGCTGCTGCTGGATTAGAAGCTGTGGGATATATTTGGACTTCACTGGAACCCATAAGGTAAATATTAGTAGATAATGCATTAAAAACTCTCTGTAGCGAAATATTGAATTTTTAGTATGAAATGCATTAGTCTGACCACTTAAGAAAGTGAATTTTAGTTAAAAGTAAGTTGAGGCAATGCCAGGCAGATGTGCAGGGGAGGTAACAATTACATGATAGTTTTTCCGGTATAGGACAGATGGGGTTTATTTACTAAAGCTGGAGAGTCCAAAATCAGACTCCCTTCTGCATAGAAACCAATCAGCTTCCAGGTTTCATTGCCAAAGCTTCATTGAACAAGCTGAGGTTAGAAGCTGATTGGTTTCTATGCAGAAGGGAGTCTGATTTTGGACTCTCCAGCTTTAGTAAATAAACCCCATGGTGTCTAATAACAAGGGATGTCATTTTCACAGAATCTTGGGTGAATTTCCAATAATATGCCTTAATACATAGAGTGAGTATTTACAAAAGAATTTTGAGCGAATCTTAAGTAAAAATATCCTTTGAATCTTTGATAAAAAAAGACCCCTGAAAGTGTTGGAGTGTCTTTATATTTTAAAAAAATGCATTTATTCATCCTGTGAAACTTCCTGTACATTTAGTCTGTGTAAAGGTTCCTTATTCTTCATAAGAATAGCATGAATCAGGAAAAAACTGGTTTATGGCTTTTAGTTGTAGTTGATGATCATAGTAAAAAGTATTAACTTTTAATTTTGCTGGCACTGGCACTGACACTGGCACAGAATGAAAGTACGTGCAGTTTTGCAAGATGAATTGCTTTGTAAATTTTTTTCACCACTTAAAACCTGGTGTCTCCTAGTCCTTTAAGGGGTTTCTGAAGCTGGGAGGTGGGGCGGGGTTTAGGGTCATGCCATTATTGGCTGTCACGGCAGCCACATGATCGAAAACCTCCAGGTTGCAAGTAGCGATCGTGAGCTTTCCGTGAGTGGCCAGTAACTGAGAGGCCGCATATTAGTGTTCCGTCGGCGACAAGGAGTTAAATACACCCCTTTGTGTTGCTTCTAACAAGCAATCAGATCCCAAGTTTTCTAGTACAAGTTACAAATAAAAGAAGAATCTAATTGACCAATACAGGTGTACCTCGGTTTACGAATTTAATGCGTTCTCCGGGACATTTCATATTGCGAAAAATTTGTAAACCGAAACGCGGTTTCCCATAGGAATGCATTGAAAACCAAATAATCCATTCTGGAGGTCAGAAAAAAGTTAAAAAAGGTCTCTGTCACTATAGGTCAGTGCCGGTTTTTAAATTTAATTACCTGCTTTTTTTTTTTCACTATAGCTCAGAGAATGAGCTCTCACTCTCCCCCTAGCTAAAAGAAAAAAGCTTCCTTTTAGTTTATTTCCCCAAGTTACAAGAAACAATGTTTCCTTTTAATCAAAGGAAAAAGTGAGCGCTTTGGGTGGACAAGCAGCTGAAACACATAGGACAACCAAAAAAATTCCTCACATGAATATAAATATAAAGTGCAGCGCTATAATAGTGACAAACATGGAATGAATAAAAAAATAATAAATAAAATTTATAAGTACGTCAAAAAAAGGGGAAAAAAACCCCAAGCCAAAAAAAGTCCCAGTAAAGATGACTTCAGGTGCCCATACACACTGACCAGGGGTGCATGCACTGTGGCAGAGATGGAGTTCAGGATGTAGTCAGGGAACAGAGGTAGATGCAATCCCCGGATCAGTGAAGATCCCCAGACCAAAGAAGCACACGTTCCACTAGACAGCAAGG